GTAAGCAAAGTTCATCTTCAGCAATGGGAACACATTCATGCCATGTTCACTATGAACAAAACCTTGCCAAATGCAGAAATAACCAAATACCACATTCAAAAAATATAAGGAAAAATTGACAGGATTAGAGGAAAAAATACAGGATTCCATAATGGCAGAGTTTTGTTTTGTTTTGTTTTGTTTTGTTTTGTTTTGTTTTGTTTTGTTTCTCAGCATTAACAGAATACTAAGAGGGGAAAATCAGCAGGCATTGAAAAAGTGAACACCACTAGCATATTACTTCGACACTATTCATTTAAAAAGTGATTCTACGTTTACGAAACCTGGGATTCCATCCAGAGGTATATGATAAGCACACCTATTTATGTGCTTAAGATTTGGATACTCGGTTTAGGAAATCATGGAATGAACTTCAATCACTTCTTCATACTTCTGTTTTCAGTTATTGCAGAAGGCTTTTATATCAGAAAAGCTGATTACCTATCTCAAAAAGGGATAAACACTATGTCCATGTTTGAACAGACCTCTCTAAATGAGCAGCCTGAAAATACACACACACAAAATGGGTAAACATTGAAGTGTATCTACATAGTGGAACACTATTCAAAATTAACGGCAATGAACTGGTACAGCATTGACTGATGATACCTTAAGAAGGGAAAACTCAAAACTTCTGTATGCTAACTGAAGGAAGTCATATATAAAGAATACATACTGATCATCTGATAGCATTTACAGAACATAATAGAAAAGAAAAGCTGAAATAGAATCACCTATCAGTGGTTTCAAGACAGGGTTGGAGATGGAGCAGATCACAAAAAGGTCAACAGCAAACATGTTCATGAGAAAATATTGTTTACTTTGACTGTGATTATAACATCATCTACACCAAAATTAGGGGAAAATTCAAGTGATCCGAAACCCAGCATTTTCAAAGTGTGGTGGAACTCGGTTTGTGAGATGTGAGTTCATGGTTACTTGGCTCAGTGTTTTAGACTAGGGGTAAAGCAGTACACCATAATCAGAGTACGCTACTCACATCATAGAGGTCAGAGACAGAAAGGAGCCCAGATATCCATTAAAGGCATGTATCCAGTGACCTATCTTCCTTCTAAATACATCCCATATTCAATAAATAGTATCACCTTGAGGGGCAATATTTTAATACAAGAGCTTTGAGGGAAATCCTGGACTCAAACTACAATGATGTAAGTTTTTACATGGAAAAGGTACGTTTTATTATTTTTGTAAACTCTTGGTCAAATATCCTATCTAGATTTTTTTTTAAATGCTATTAAACAGCATGCCTAGTGTATGTAACAAGCCAAAGCTGTACCAAGGCTGATGTCTTTTAAAAGCTGATCAACTTAGATCACTAACAGTGAATCATATGGAGACTATAGAGATGAGTTATCAAAGAAAGACAGAAGAGAAACAGGCTCACATTGCCACAGAGAAAGTGCAACAGGAATACTAACTGAACAGCAGCAGTGACAACAAATGGAATTCCTGGGAAACAGGAAGCTAACTTACCTGGAGACACACAGTGCCAATCTCTGTAATGTGAGTGCTCCAACCTGCAAATCAATGACATAATCTTTCCAAAGCTTCCTCTTCGCCTTCTTTTACTGTGCTTACTAATCATTCCAGTGACAAATATTTACTACAGGGTACCTTTACCATTTTTATGCCTGTGCATCCAGAGAGTCTCAAAGAAAAAATACTAACTCTATTGCCCATTAGCAATAGAAAGGCAACAAGAACAAAATGCATATACAAACAGGAAAACAATAATTCTTTAACAATAGAAACTGATAATCAATGGATTTACAAAGTTTTCTTAAGAGTCCATTTCACAATTCAACAAGGAGGCAAGAAAATTATGCCAAGAGTTCTCTGGAGGAAGAGAACTGGTAGAATCAGCATACATACATACATACATACATACATACATACATACATACATACATACACACAAACACACACACACACACATATATATATTTGATAACTCATCATATATATATGGGATTTATTAAAGTAGCTTACAGACTCATGTCTGGCCTGTCCAACAATCACTATCTCCTGATACAAAGGCTAAGAATCCAGTAGTTGTTTATCTAATGAGGCAGGATGTCTCGGACTACATGGGAATCTAGAAGTAGGTACTAATCCCAGTGAAAGAATGCCTCAGCAATAGCATAGATGAACTTACCAATGAGAGTGAGAGTAAGTAGGCAAAATTAGAAAGCTTCCTTTTTAAATGTCCTTTTATATGGGCTGAGACCAGCAGTTGTGGCCTAGAATTAGGGTGGGACACTCTACCTCAAATGATCCAATCAAGGAAATCTCTCAGTTGCTTAGGTTTTTGGTGACTCTAGATTCGGTCAATCTGACCACCATGATTAGCCGTAATAGAAAAAGATTCTACGTTTTAAATTATTTTACACCACAGACCTTCCTCTCTGCCTTGTATAATCTAAAACAAAGGCTCAATGAATGACAAACTTCCTTCTGGTACAATCACAGCCAGTGATATCTGTGGTGATAACTTTAGAAGTTCGTTTCCAGTATCCCAAATGAATAGACAGAAGCATCCTGAGTTATCCCAGTGAGAAAGTCAAGTATTGAGAGATGACACAATACTGTCCTAAAAACATCAGAGATAGGGTGGGGGTAGGGAGAGCCAAATCATCAGGAGAAGTTAGTATGACAAACTTTTTGGTGTTCTTAAGCACTAATTTCAAGTACAAGCAGTAAATCCTACACAGGTGGTCTTTTATAATATCAACTAATGTTTTCCACTGGCTTAGTCTCCCTTCTCTAAGATACTTAAACTTCATGCATACAACTTTGCAACAACTTGATTGTTGATGGATGTTACAAAATGGGCAATTAATCTATACTTCACTGTTAACTGTGTGTCAGACTGTTTCCTAAACACTTTTCTTTCAGTACCTCAACTACTTTTGATATAGAGATTTTACATAGGGTATCCTTGTGTCCACTTCAACTACAAGAAAACCAGGGATCACAGGACATAGGCAAAGTGTATTCATCTGTTGCAGATCAGGATGAGTTTCTAAACATCCAAGGGCAATTGAGGACTATGATTTACTCTCAGGCTCTAATTTCCACTCTTCATCCCTAGGTCAGCTCTATACACAGGGGAAAGCTGTCTATTGTCTGTGTGCAAAGCCCTGCAGATGGAGGCACCCTCAAGGAAAGCCTTGGCTCTCCGATTTCAAGTCATTGGATCGTCAGTTTTTGAGGCCACATATCTATATGGAACAATGTGGCCACTGACCTGAGACATGCCAACTGCTTAAGCAGCTTTCCAGGAATTGGAAGACTTTGAGCTACTTCAAATGGATTGAAAACATCAAGCCTTTATTCGGATCTGCATAGTTGTCTAATGAGTGACCTTAGATTAAAAAACCTAACACTCCACCTTCAGAAAAGTGAGGCACCATCATTTCCAGGTACGAATCCTTTAAAGAGCCATGAGTACTGCCATTCATGGGCAGCAGACAGTGCCCTCTACCCTTCCATGTCTTTAATCCCCTTTCCCTTCTTCAACTGTCACTTCTTGGTCCTATAAATAAATACTCTATAACACTGTTCTCACAAAGGCATATTAGAGATCCAGGCTCCTTATATCTAGCATCTTCAGAATGAACTATTTTTCTTGTTCTATCATTTTAGCGATAAATAATAGGCAAAGCAGACCTTACCTGGTGACAAGAGTTAGAAGAGGGGCCAGGCATTCAGCCTCTTACCCAAGGACAGTTCCAACATTCATGTCACCTTCTGTCTTCTGTCTCATCTCATCCTCAACTGGTACCTCATGACCTTAATCATAATCTCTCCAAATGTATTAGTCACCAAGAATGATTCCCTCCTGTCTACACTGAGGCAGAAGTCTCTGCATCCTACCCAAGCTAAACTGCCTTCTAAGACCACATTATAAATGTCCTTTTCCAAGGGCCAAATTGCAGAGAGTGGAGGACATTGAGCAGGCAATAGTCCACACCAGTCCCCTCTGTACTTGGTGCTTCTCTGCCTAATCTCTCAACTTTCACTAAGAAACTCAGACTGCACAGTATATATCTACATATTTATTTGGTGTGTTTGAGACTGCTTCAGATATCATATGCTGATCTTGAACTCACTACATAGCTGGGGATGTCCTTGAATTTCTGGTCCTTCTGCCTCCAGCTCCTGAGTGATAGGATGACAGGCCTATATCACCATGTCCAGGGGATTAAATCTAGAGCTTTATGCACTCGAGGCAAGCATCCCTAGCCCTCGAAAAAAAATGTTTTTATAATTAAATTCAGATATTGATATTCTAAAAACACACATCTCTGAAAGCAAGTCTAAATGGTATCATTTTTATTAGGCAATAGTCCCCCAAAGAATAATTGCAAAGAACTGTCTCAAATTTTGTTAGAAATTAATCAGTTACCATGTCTTTCCACATTGCCTTACTTGATGCAACACCTTTGCTGACACTGGGGAGCAACTAGGCAACATGGGCCTGTGTGGTTTTATTTTGGGGCTGTAGTGTGATATAAAAATCTCTCCTAAATTCTGGCTATTGAACTGAGTGTAATAAGAACAAAAGAGGTATATATATTTGCTTTATTCCTGAATAGCTGGAAAGACAAACTGTACTCATGTGACACATATCAAATACCTTTGGGCAGTTACAAAGCCAGCACCCCACCCCCACCTCAACCCCCAATGGTTGCAGGCTCCTAAGATCAAAATCTACCTGTCAAGAGCTGATAAAAAGGATCTCCAAAGATGAAACTCATTTGCAAAATGAGGAGTGACAAGGAAAGCATTAGAAATGGATCTCATGTGAATTCTCAGAAAGACTGGTAATGCTGCCTGCCCTTGGTGAGATAACTACGGGTGACTATGCAAATGAGATCACATGAGAATACAGGGGTCTACTAGGAAACCTGTAAGTACAGTGTAGAATTCTTTCTTACCTGAATTGACTAGCTGCTGTTCCATCACCCCACAACCAAGGACTTCCAGCCATTCTCCACGGAAGTTGATCTCCATCTCGAAGGAAGGGTGGGTAAAGGGAAAGTAGCAGTCCACCCACCGAACCTCCAGCCCTGCAGAGTACCAAAGGAAAGACATACCAATTCATAAGACAGTAAGTCACATTGGCATGGTAGAATTAAAGAAACTAAACTTTCACTGGGCTGTTCTCCAAATCTACATCTCAATGATGAAATAACAATTCAGAGATGTCCTAAATTCAATCACAAAGACCTAATGATGGTATGCTATTTACCTGCGCAGGGGCTTCACCTTTTTGAGTACATGTTGAAATTGTTGACTTGAAATCCATGATGCTGACACTAGCTCAGTGTCCTCACTAAGCCTAGAGCACACATACCCATTCTGGGCTGTTAAACTCACCAATGCTCTATACAGCATGCCTTCTAATCCCAAGCTTTGTCTGCAATAGTATTGTCTTTCTAGTCTATAGGCAAGCAAATTCAAGGTACACCACTTACACCTTCCTCAAATCCATCTGGCCTGGTGAACCTATTTCCACAGGATCTCTATTCTCAATGCTGGATTAGGTACTGTAGAACTGTTCGCTGGCTAATATCTGCAAAACATTAAAACTTTGACTTCAGAGAGCCCCTGTGCCTTCACAAACCGCAATGTTTAGCTGAGAAAAATGGGATCAACCTTCACTCTCTTAGAAGTTTATGTTGATAGTTTTATGAATTCTTAAGAGCTAACACGTTAATAAAATGAAGTCTTTCAAATTTAAGCAAAATACTTAAAAATATCAAATATCTTCCTCCAGTAAATGGCAAATACATTTAATGTCAACAAACAAAAAGCAATACCTACAAGAGGTCAAAATTGATCTTCAATAAGCTATCAGAAATATGGTACTTTTGAGAAATGAGCTCATTATTTAGCAAAGTAAAAATTAATGAACTCAAAATGATGGCTGAGACAGACAGATGTGGTGGATTAAATGGTGCAGCCCATGGGAAGTGGCACTATTTAGGAAGTGTGGCCTTGTTGGAATAAGTGTGGCCTTAGAGGAAGTTTGTCACTGTGTAGGCAGGCTTTGAGGTCTCCTCCTATGATCAGTGCAGATGAGGCCCCCTGGCTAGACTTATAGAAGACAAGTCTCCAGCTGACTTAAGATCAACATGTAGAACTCTTGGCTCCTCCAGCACTGTATCTGCCTGTATAGTGCCATGCTTCCCACCACGATGATAATGGATTGAACCTCTAAATCTGTAAGCCAGCTTATAAATGTTGTCCTTATGAGAGTTGCCTAGGTCATGCTGTCTCTTCACAGTAGTAAAACCCTAAGTAAGACAACAGAGGTGCCCTCAAAGTTTAGGACAGATGAGAAGTCACCTAGTGGCTTGATGACCCTATCAGGAACACATAAGACACACAAGTCATCAGAGTTCCTGTCCATCCCTGGAATGGTCCAACTCCACAGAAACCAGTCCCCAGTAAATTTAAGACACTCAACTTTTTTGCTCAAGGCTATCTGACTTGAACTCTAGCAGTGCTAGTGATTCCTTCCATCCTCTGAGCACTCACTTTACTTCTACAGTTCTGCTTCACAGAGAAGAAAGACCCAATCAGAGAAAGTCTACCTTCCCCAAAGTCACAAAATTAGGGCAGGTAACTGAGCCAATCTTCAGGATTCCTCTACTCTAAATCCCTAACCTTGATAGTTTAAACAATACCCTGAACATGAATCAAAACTTAAGACAGAAGCCAGCAGTGATGGCATGGGACTATAATCCCAGCACGTCGAGGGCAAAGGCAGAATTGTCCACAAGTTTGAGGCCAGCTGGGTATATATAACAGATTTCAGGTTAACTAAGGCTATATAGTAAAATCCTGTTTCAAAACAATAATGATAAAAGCATATGGAAGCAAAGTTATAAGACATGGTGACTAATCTATGAAAGTATTCTCTTTGTGCTGTTCAACTTGAAATTTCTTTTTCTAGTTACCTGCTATCTACTTGCTGAGTAATTTTTGTTTACAATGATAATGTATTTCCCCTTCTAATATATATTTTTTCGTAACAAAAAGACATTAAACTATACATGGTAAAAAGCACCCAATCTGATAGATATTGACAGATGTATACATTCATGAGTCTGTAACTACATTCAAGTTAAAGGCAAAGGCAGGAATACAGACACATACCTGCAATCGCAGCTACCCAGGGGACTGAGGAGGAAGATGTCAAGTTCTACACCAGTATGAGCAACTTAGCAAGAACCTGCTTCAAATTAACCTTTTTTAAATGCATGAGATGTAGCGAACTGGTAGAGTGTTTAGTTAGTATGTGGCAGGTCCTAGGTTCAAACCCTGTATTGCAAAATAATAATAACTAATGAAACATCTTATACTGATCCTCACATCCTTAACAATCTTTTTTGTCACTTTCATGGCACTTGTACTCCCCACCTCTTCTTTGTATTCTTTTGTATTTGTATTCTTTGTCATGGTCAATCTAAGATTTGTCCACAATGCTGCAAGTAGCAATAGACACTCGTTTCTAGTGCTGCAGAAATACATCCAGCCTCTCTAATGGAATTGGAAGGACTCACTGATGAGCAACACTGGCAAAAGGTCTGCGAATCACCTGCTAAGGCCAGAACAGCTGAAGAGAAGCTCTGTGTCCCAGCAATTGCTCATCTGCAGCAGTACTCAAAGAAGAGTTGTATATACCTTGGCAAATGCCCACATGAAAGTTCAACAGTCCCCAAGAAATATTTCCTCAATCACCCTACAGGTGTCGTTTTCAACAGAAATGAAGGAAACTGCTGGACAGTAAAGCCAGCCTAGAGCAAAGCACACATGGGCAGGAAAGCCAGCCAAATCCAAAGCCCACAAGCATGAATGCTATAATCTGTATAGCAGAGCCTGAGGGGTGCAATCAAAACACAGAAGACACAAATGGACCACAGGTATGTCTACTGAGCAGGAAGCTTTGAATACATGCACTACCTCAGATCTTCTGAAAGTCCCACGGGCCTGGCAGAGGATGCTGAGCAGTCCCCATACCATCCGTCTCCTCTGCTCCACCAACTCTACCTTCTTGGCTGCTCCTTTAGCTTTCTTTGCACAAACAAAGGCTCAATCTTCCAAAGCCAACTTTTGAGCAGGCTGTGGCTCAATTTCAAACCTAAACAGTAATAATAACATTGTAATGATAATAGTTAATGTATAATATTGGCAAAAATGCCATATTCTCTTATATATTTGAACAATTTAAACTTGTTGCCTTGATAATATGAGCAGTGGTTATTTTTAAACCACTGCTAACAGAATCATTTATAGAAAACCTAAGATATTAGCACTAAAACATATTTTCTTCGTGGTTTTTGTCACACACTTTCAAGATGATTTGTAACGTGATTTATTGAGTGCTTCAGTAGTACCACCCAAATATACAGTTTTCTTTGCTTTTGCTCATGTCCAAAAAAACTCCTATAGTAATTGCAGTTTTAAATGCACTTTAGCATGGTTCCTATATTAACAATATAGTATTACCATCTAGCTGAAATCATAGTTTATTGCACATGTCAAGTATCAAAAGTAAAAATATCCACTAAAAAGGACATATTCAGGGCTAAGCATCTCCAAATCACACAGATTTCACAGTCACCATGTTACTGAGGTGCTTGAAAGAAATTAACCTACATTGTAATACGGCTACTGCAAAATTATGCCCAGGTTTTTTCAAGCACAGGAATTTTCAAATTAGCTTCAAACCTCTGTGCATACGTGCAGATGTCCAAAAAAATATCCCTGAACTTTGAGCCCAGGGTCAACCATAGAAAGATCATTTCATAATAAATGCATACTTGAGTTCAAAGGTAAGTTAATTTACCCTTGTGGGTCCAGCCACCATATCTCCATGTTGTGTGAAGACTATGTTGTTGTCTTATGTATAAGTCTTGAGTAGAGACACCACAGGAGGCCTACTTCTGTCTGGATACAAGCTCCTCGATTAGGTGTAGACACAGACTACAAGGAGTGGGAGTGGTATGCAGAGAACCACCCTTGAGGTGGGTACCAATCAAACTGTAAACTGAAATTCCTTTTGGCCAGTGACATGAGCCAAAGGGAAAAGGTCCATGAGCACTTTAGTTCTTTCTCACCTCTAAAGGCCACACACATTACCTACCCTACTACCCCAGGAAACAGGGAATGAGGAATGGCTACACCACAACTCACCCAGATACCAGCCTCCTAACTGCTATATCCTTAGCAAGATCAACTAGAGACACAATGCATGCATGGGTCGGGGACATTCCATCTTCCTTTGCTTCTCATGAAAAGTTGGAGTGTCTAGCACTTTTAAGGGCACACTGTGAATATCACTACAGTGGTCATTCCATATCCATGTTACCTCCACAATAGATCCCATGCTTAATAAATAACCACATTCAACTTCCCTGAGTAAGGACTAAACAGATTCTCCTGCTGGCTCCTAGACCCATCAAATTTAACATGGGACTCTGCCATGAGAACCCCTTCCATAAGCAGTAGAATCTAAATGTGAAGACAGCACAAACCAGAGCCTTTAACAAGGGTTTTCTAAATCCCTCCAAGGCCACTCTCCATTGGAGCAAATAATTTTTAAAGCTGCCTACACATATGTCATTAATTTTATGGCATTAATTTTCCGACAGGTCTTTCTTTGCTCAGGGGATACCAGGTATACATTGTAAAAAGCAACAATTTAAAGCAGTGGTGCTGGTTGCCTTCTGACATCATGTGGCAGGAACTGACCAGAGTGAAGGACGATGGAGAGAAAAACTGAAAATAAGTTCCTAAAATGTGGCACTGGGTTGGCAAAATGGCTCAGCAGGAAGGGACCCTGGCCACCAAACACAATGACCTGAATTTGATCCTCGAGACCTCCATAATGGAAGGAGACAATGCTCCTGTGACCTGAACATATGACACACACACATATCTCCAAATGAATAAATGAATGAATAAATAAATAAATAAATGTAATAAAAACATATTTTAAAAATTGACAATATGCTAAAAAAAACTAACCCAGCCCCATGGCAAAGGGACCTAGCAACTC